AGCCTGCCATCAGAGGTGGTTCAAGCACCTACATTGAGCACGTTCAAGAACAAATTGGATGCTTATCTTGCTGGGATCCTATGACCCCAGCTGACTTCCTGCTCTTTGGGCGGGGGGCTGGACTCAATGATCTTCCTAGGTCCCTTCCAGCCCGAATGTCTATGAAATCTATTTAGTGTCCCACACTTCAAAATGGCAGCCGAGGCTCTTTAACTAAAGTTTATTCGACTAATTGAGTCTGTTCCAAGTAATTGAGTCCGCTTTGATCTGCTGTAATTACATTTTTGCATTGGAGCAGCATCCCCACATGCCTACAGGCACCCTGAATGCTTAAATTGAATGCCTTGGTGTAAGAAAAGGGAAAGAAACAGGAAGGAAATGATAACATGACATTTTTTTTTGTTCTTAAAAGCATTATTTGTATTTGCCAGTGCAAACTTGGTACACTGTAATTACCACAGGGAATAACTTTAATACTGGAAATGTGGATGATACCTAGCAATTAGTGCTTGTTCCATTATCTGAAGGAAACTGGCAACATTTGTGACCATCTTCTCACCACTACATTATCATTTATTCACTAACTCAAGACAGTTAATAAGCTTGTATTTATTTTCTTCAGGTCAAACTCCTTGTCAGGAAGGAGACCAGAGATGTACTTCCTGTCCTGATTCTTGTGGCACCTCTTCCCTCTGTGAGATGAGGAACAGCCAGACAAACTGTAGTAAGTTTGGCCTGTGCTTCACACCATTGTCCTAGAATACACTTCCAGTAGTTTTCCCTTTCATTGCCTTTATGATGATGCACTGCAGGATACAGAAAAGAATATTTTCATTCATTCTTACTTGTTGCATGTCTAGTATTTAAGTTTTGAAATGGTTTTGATTAGACCAAACCAGAAATAAATGTGTCATCCCAGTTCGTGACTAAAAATGTAACTGTACTAGCCTACTCAAGGACCCTTGAACCTAAAGATTTTTTTCCCCACACATATTTTCTTTGCTCTGTTCTTAGTTTGTGGTGACTATTGCAGTGCTTTATAGTGCAGTGAAAGAGTATTAAATATATGCACAAATGAAATAAAATGATCCATGTGTAAACTGCTTGCCTATTTCTCCCAACCCCAGGAGGAATGACACCATGCCTTGAGTCTAGATTGGGTCCTTTTCCTCTTTGTTATTCAAGCTGATGAAGTTATTTTCCTGGCCAAAAGAATCTGGTGGGGCCTAGAGATCCTTTTTCTAGTATATTGTCCTCTCTTGCTCTACCCTGCTCCAGGGTCTGGCAGGCATTCACTTAGTTGTCGTCAAGACATTCACTTGTTCCACTTGTTGTGTTTTGTAATTCCTTGAGCAGTTGTTGCTGGGAGATTGTTAATCAGTTATTCGTGTGCCTGGCCAGCTACCTGTGATTGTATGACTAATGAATCCACATTGGTCCCAGTGATAAAATACAGCTAGTCATGCTATAGTAATAAATAAATGATGGGCTCGTATAACAGTTCTCCCAGGCATAAATTAAAATAGGGTGAGTGGGGTGTGCCTGTAAGAGTCTTTTTCAGATACTGTGGGTAAGAAAAAATTTAGAAGAAAGGCTGAAAATGTGGACCTAGCTTCTGCTCCCTCTCCGATTCCCGTTAAGCAGGCATTCCCTGTCCCTCACAGACACCTCAGCATTAGCTAGCAGGCCACGTGCTGGCTACCTCTGAGCTGTAGCACATGGAACAAAGGCAGAATCAACAGCCAGGTGGTAATGTCCCTCTGTTTTCTTAATGGACTAATAAACACCGAGTTAAAGGGTGATAAACATTCTGTGCTGGGCTGTTCAGAGGGACATGTGCGCGTGCGCACGCGCGCGCGCACACACACACACACGTGCGCACCTCCCCCCC